TAAAAAATTGATTTATGTATATTGATATTATATCTAGTAAATTTGGCAACCTCTTTATTAGTTCTAATTATTTGTGTAATTGCTTGGGTTTTCTACGTATACAATCATATCATCTACAAATAATGATAGTTTTATTTCTTCCTTTTCAATTCTTATACCTTCTTGTCTTATACTTTCTGTTTTATCACATTAGTTGCAATGTTTAATGAAAATGAAACATTTCTGTGCATATTTATTTTGTTCCTAAAATTAAAAGACTATTTCTATATTTAAAATACTGTTTGCTATGTAATTCTGATAGATACCATTTTCTAGTTAAATACTTTCTCTCTTAGTTTGATATCTTCATCACTAGTTTTCACAAAAAATTAATCTTCATTTATTAAAATTACCATATTTCCTTTCTTTTTGATTTGCTAATATAAATACATATACAAATCAATTTCTTAATGTCATGATGGAGTAACTTAGATGATTCATCTCCTTTCACTATATAAAAACTAGAAAATTGACCAAGGCTGGGTGTAGTGGCTCATGAGGTCAGGAGTTCAAGACCAACCTGTCCAACATGATGAAACCCTGTCTCTACTGAAAATACAAAATTAGCTGGGTATGGTGGCGCATGCCTGTAATCCTAGCTACTCAGGAGGTTAAAGCAAAAGAATCGCTTGAACCTGGGAGACGGAGGTTGCAATGAGCTGAGATCGCTCCATTGCACTCCAGTCTGAGTGACAAGAGCAAAACTCCATCTCAAAAAAAAATAAATAAATAAAAAAGAAATTGACCAAATAGATGAAACGACATCTTTCAGACACTGGAAAACAGGCATCTGAGAACTTGAACATTACAGAGGTGGAAACAATCTGGGGAGCCCTATAATCACCTGGAATTCTACCTGGAGGCCTTTTTCAGTTTGATATAGGAAAGAGGACGTTAAAAACAGCAGTGATTATGCTGAGTTGAAAAAACAGAGATCAGAGTTTCATGAGACTGATGTAGCTCAAAGGGTGGGACATAGAACCAGAGACAATGTAGCTACACAGAGAAATCTCCAGAAATTGACATGGAGTCCCTTGCATTTGGTGCTCAATTATAAGACAGACAGATAGACAGATAGATAAATAGATAGATAGATAGATAGATAGATAGATAATAGAAAAACAAATACAATAGATAGATGATAGACAGACAGACAGATAGACAGACAGATAGATAGATAGATAGATAGATAGACAGATAGATAGATAAATAGAAATAAAGATAGATAGATTCCACAATGCCAACAAAGACTGACTGAGGAACGATGAACTGAGCTATGCCCAGAACTCACACATATCTGGGTGACTATAGTGTTCCAAGGATCCACACGAGATAGTCCTCACCGAAAGTTCAGAGTACTCAAAGAAGACCGCAGAAGGCCCACACCTGACAGCAGAGATAAACTAGAACAGACTCCACAACCGCTCTAATAAAGCTTAAAAACAAATCTTGTAATAATCAAATGGATCCTTAAGTAACTTAACTTCTTGCAAGAAAAATGCCCAAAATTCTTTGAAAGAAGACAGTAAAATTCAATATACAACAACATGAAATTTACAGTGTCCATCTTCAAGTTAAAAATTACGAGATACGTGAAGAGGCAGAAAATGTGAGAGAAATCAGAATATAAGAATAGACCTAATAAGCAGACAAAAATTGTACAAAACCTGTTATAAAAACATTCAATATACACAAAATTAGAAAAGAAAAGAAATACTAATGCCACTTTTAGAGATGAAAAATGCAATATCTGAATTTAAAAATTTACTAAATGGGATTGGCAGCAGATGAACCTTGAATACATGGTAATAAAAAACTGTACAACATTAGCACAGAAGTAAAAAATGACTTGGAGAAAAGTAAATAGAGGTACAGTGATAATGTGATATGATACCAAGAGGTCTAATATGCTTAGAATAGGTGATCACAAAGGTTAAAACAAAGGGAGACAGAAAAATACTAAAACTTTCAAATTTTACAGAGTATAAATTCATAAGTCCAAGAAGCTCAATCAACCCAGAGCAGAAGAAACATAAAAATTACTAAGGGCACTGTAATTATTGATTAACACCAGTGATATCTAAAGAAATATGTAAATATGCCTTATTATTTTAAAAAAGCACATTATGTACAAAGGAACAAGGTAACCATAACCTCAGACGTCTCACGTGTAAGCCAGAAAACGATGACCTAGTGATACATAAACAGCAAAAATACTTTTTTTTTTTTTTTTTTGAGACGGAGTCTTGCTCTGTTGCCCGCCCAGGCTGGAGTGCAGTGGCTCACTGCAAGCTCTGCCCCCCGGGTTCACGCCATTCTCCTGCCTCAGCCTCCCTAGTAGCTGGGACTACAGGCGCCCACCACCAGGCCTGGCTAATTTTTTTGTGTATTTTTAGTAGAGATGGGGTTTCACTGTGTTAGCCAGGACAGTCTCGGTCTCCTGACTTCGTGATCCGCCCGCCTTGGCCTCCCAAAGTGCTGGGAGTACAGGCGTGAGCCACTACACCCGGCCAAAAATACTTCTTTAAAAAATGAAGATAAAATAAAGACTTTTCACAGGCCAGTGGAATCTAGGAGAAGCACTAACAATCCTGCACTGAAAGGAATGAGGAAGGAAATTCCACAGGCTGAAGAACTAAACCAGGTATAAATACGGATGTACACAAGTGATGAAAGTCGGAAAGGAAAATACATGTGTAAATGTAATAGATTTATTTTACTTTTAAAATTACTTACAAGATAATGGTTTAGAAAAGAAAAAAGACATAAAAGAACAACCAATATGTGAAGCAACATGAATCTCAAAATAATTACACTGAGCCAAAAAAATCTGCCATAAAAGAATACATACCATATGATATCTACAGACAGTTTGCACTTTGCCCAACAGGGCAGGACTGAAAAGTGATAGCACAAGCTGAAACTATGCAAAGTGGCGTCAATAATCAATGGGAAGAGTTATGCTTGTTCTGTGATCTTTAACAATTTTTGTCAAAACATTAATAATTATCTCACTGTTGGTTATAAATAAGAAAATATAAACGATAAAAACTAGTATTTATTTAGTGCATGGTAATGTAAAACATTAAAACACTGAGAATGAAAGTGTTTTATTTCTTTGTTTCAAAACACCATTTCAACAGTGCTTGCATTTTTCTTTTCATGCTATAATTTAAAATACAAGTGAGCATCTTTTCAAAGCCTGAATGGATTGCCCTACTTCTTTCTAAGTTCGGATCAGTCTAACATTTTATCCATTGTGCTTTCAGTATCACAAAATATCTCCCAAATTCTTTTCATTTGTTTGTTTTTTGAGACAAGTCTTGCTCTGTCACCCAGGCTGGAGAGCAGTGACATGACCTTGGCTCACTGCAACCTCCGCCTCCCGGGTTCAAGCAATTCTCCTGCCTCAGCCTCCCAAGTAGCTGGGATTACAGTTGCCTGCCAACATGACTAGCTAATTTTTGTTTTTTTTTATTTTAGTAGAAACACGGTTTCACCATGTTGGCCAGGCTGCTCTCGAACTCCTGACCTCATGTGATCCTCCTGCCTCAGCATCCCAAAGTTCTGGGATTACAGGTGTGAGCCACCATGTCCAGCCCAAACTTTATTTCTAATAATAATATTTTGTACTTTCTCTTTTGGCCTAGATCAGTCTTGCCAGTGAGTAATGCATTTTATAAAATTTTTCAAAGAACCAATTTTTGACTTTGTTTATCCTCTCTTAAATTTTAAAATTTTTCTTTCTTTCTTTTTTTTTTTTTTTGGAGTCTCAGTCTGCTGTTGCCCAGGCTGGAGTGCAGTGGCATGATCTCAGGCCTATTTCTTTAATTTATGCCCTTACCTTTATTATTTACTTCCTTGTATTGTCTATGAGTTTAATTTGTGGGTCTTCAAAAATATTTTTCAGTTAAAAACTCAGATAGTTAATATGTAGGCTCCCTTTTTTTCCCTAATGTATTAAGTTAAAGCTATGAATTTCCTTGTAATCATAGCTTTAGATGCATCCCATCCATTTTAATATGTAGATTTTAAATTGTCTATTTAGCTTGAAATATTTTCTGATTTCCACTGTGATTTTTTTCATTGACATGTTGCCGACTTAAATTAAAAGTATACTGCTTAACCTGCCAACCCTTGGGGTTTTCTCCAGCCACAAAAGAGTTTCTCTGAATTTAATAAACTGAAGAGTATTGGGATTTACATTATTACCCACCATATACTTAAATTTCAAATGTTTCTCTCTTTTTTTCTAAAGACGTGGGGTTTTGTTCTGCCCCCCAAGGCTGGAGTGCAGTGGTGTGATTATGGCTCACTGCAGCCTTGAACTCCTTGACTCAGGTCATCCTCCTGATTCAGCCTCCTGAGTAGCTAGGACTACAGGCATGCCCACTACACCTGGCTAATGTATATTTTCAATTTCTTGTCAAGAAGGGGTCTTACTATATTGCACAGGCTGGTCTGGAACTCCTGGGCTCAAGTTAGTTTCCTGCCTCAGCCTCCCAAAGTGCTGGGATGACAGGCATGAGCCACCACACCTGGCTGATCCTTTTTTTTTTTTTTTTTTAGTGGAGATGGGGTTTCACCATGTTAGCCAGGATGGTCTCGATCTCCTGACCTCGTGATCTGCCCGTCTCGGCCTCCCAAAGTGCTGGGATTACTGGCTTGAGCCGCCGCGCCCGGCCATTTTTTTTTTTTTTTTGAGATGGAGTCTCACTCTGTTGCCCAGGCTGGAGTGCTGTGGTGAGATCTCGGCTCACTGCAAGCTCCGCCTCCTGGGTTCACAACATTCTCCTGCCTCAGCCTCCCTAGGACCTGGGACTACAGGCGCCAGCCACCATGCCCAGCTAATTGTTTGTATTTTTAGTAGAGATGGGGTTTCACCGTATTAGCCAAGATGGTCTCGAACTCCTGACGTCATAATCTGCCCACCTTGGCCTCACAAAGTGCTGGGATTACAGGCATGAGCCACCGCTATCGGCCTGATCGTAATATTTTTAAAGAGAAATGGTGAGATGATTCTGGAGAAGACAATGCAGGATGAGTCCCTCTCCAGCTTTTGAGACTGTGGGAAAAGCCTGATAATAAAGATGGAGGCACGGAGCATTAGGTCAGTGCAGCGGGCCCAGAGAGAGCTGGGGACTGCACACATTAAAGGAGGGCCCTGTGCATTAGCAGGAAGAGACTGGACGGTTAAAAAAATGGAACTGTGACAATTGGTCATCCCCAAGGAGGATGAAAAGGAAATTAGCTCTTTGCCCTAGCCTACATACAAAGTAAATCCCAGGCAAATTTCTTTTTGTAAAAAGTACATATATGCGGCAAATATGAGTAAAAATCAAACATATAAAAAGCAAAATTGTGTAAGTTTTGGAAGAAAATATTGGAACATATCCTTACGGTTTTGGAGTAGGGAAAGACTTCTTAAATGAAAATATACAAGCCATGAAGAAAACCATGAATACATTTGAATGCATTTGGTGGGGGAGGAAGTGGGTGCTGCACAATGCAAAACATAAAAGCGAAGCCCAAGACTAGGAGAAAATGCTTGCAATAGATTGTACCAGAATTTTTAGAGGAACACTTACAAATCAGTTAGCAAAATATGAACAATCCAGTAGTAAGGTGGGTCAGCCGCCTGAGAAGATCATTTCTAGGAAAGGAAACGTAAGTCATAAATATAGCTGTGAAAAAAGTTTGACTAGAAATCAGGGAGTTAGAAATAAAGACAATGAGATACCATTCCCATCCACAAGACTGTCAACACTTTAAACGTCTCAGAATACCAGGTGTTGGTGAGGAATGGAGTGTAGAAACTTTCATAGATTGTTTGGTGTAGTGGAAACTATTACAACCATGTGGAAGAAAAATTTGGCAAATAAGTAGCAGCATTGAAGATGCACAGGCTATGGTCCAGTGGACCCGCTTCTACGGAAGAATCCAGAGAAGCCATTCACAGGGCCTCTACAAGTGCACATTTGGAAATAATTTTAAAAAATGGAAAAAAAAAACCTGTTAAAGCACATTTTATAAAACATGCATATGATACATATCAACATAGACATAGCTAAAACTATGAAAAAATATTTTGAATAAAACATATAGTTTGCATCAGGATACATGCTCTATATTGGCATGTATCTAAAGTTTAAAAATATGCAAGTTATGTGCCACTTTATTTAAGAATCTGTGCACATGCGGGAAGGAGAAAAACAAAGAATGTTCTCCCCAGGCTTGCGATAGCTGTCTCTGGAGAACAAATGGGGTGTTTGTTGGGGGTTTTCTATTGTATCTGTATTATATTATATTTTGTTATCCATCAGGACCAGGAAGACAAAATATCATATTTAACAATGCTGTATGCTTAAAGTGCTAAAATTTCATAATTAAAAAGGTGTTGATATCGAGGGAGTTAGAGTAAGTATAATGATTTCCAGGGTATGGTAATAACGTGTGGCCCAACCAGACAGATGACTCTTCTAGGTTGATGTCTCCTCCCCAGGTCATCAGAATAATTGATACATGTCTCCAACACTGTAGAAATTGTGCACATGGCCGGCACTTTCTTGTTCACTCAGAGAAAAAGTTGAACCTGTTGCTGCTGTTGCTGTTGAGTTACGATGGGAGAAGACGTGAGACTGCCTTGCAGCTGAGAAGGCACTTCAAAGGCAAGCTCTGAGTCCCAGCAGTGAGTGGCTGGTACTCTGTAACCACACCTCCATCACCCACTAACCCTGGTTTTGGCTGATCCAAGTTCCAGCTAAGGACAGCTGGTGAGAAAGTTTTATATTCACCATCACAAACCAATGTAATCACAAGGTCATCTCCCAGAAACAATGAGAATAAACAGGGGCAAGAGAAAATTGCAATACATGTGCTTTCTTGGAGCGGTCTTCTGGAAGCAGTGGTTTTTGGTTATGTGTTGTGGCTGCTTAGCTTGGGCAAGGTCAGCTTTAGCGCCTGGAGTATGCACTCAGTGGGCTTCCATGCCCAGCTCTGGCCTTCAGGTCCGACCTCCTAAGGTTGAAGTCTGCTTCTCCCTGTATTAGATGGGTGAGGGAATTCAGCTCTCCAAGCTTCACTTTCCCAACCTATAAAAAGGCAATGGCAGTAGACTCTCTCTCTTAGGGCTTATTGTTAAATTGTAAATGGAAGGATACATGTGAAGTACTTTACACAGGTCCCTGGTATGTAGTAAGTACAAAATAATTGCACTGGCCGTGCTATTGCTGTTGCCGAGTGTAAGTGCTGCTTTAGTGCCTGATCCTCTGGGGGACAGCTGCACTGCAGGCCCACAACACAGTGTCCAGCCAGACCAGAGGAGCACCTGACCACAGCCTCTGCAGTAACAGCCTCAGCCTATGCACAGGACTGCAGGGAAAGAGCAAGGGCAGGATCCAGGACAGCTGAGTTGACTCTTCCAATGCGTTTCTGGGAACAAAGAGACCTGCTGAGCATACAACAGCTTCCTGGGCCACCTTGCCCTGTCCCTTTCTGAGTAGGATACCTGTCTCAGGCTTCAGCTTCCTGGGAATTCACTCATTTGTTCAACAAGTGAGTTCATCTTTTATGTGCTGAGCACTACTCCATGTGTTGAGATTCAGTGATGACCACAGAGAGAGCTGTCTCCTGCCCTTGCAGGGCTGAGTGTCTAGCAGGATGTGTTTGCTGGGGCTGCTATGACAAAATACCAGAGACTTGGTGATTTAACCAAGAGATATTTATTTTCTCATAGTTCCAGAGGCCAGAAGTCAAAAGTCAAGGTGTTGGCAGGATTGGTTCCCCCTGTGGGGTGTGGGTGAGGGTCTGTTCTGGGCCTCTCTCCTTGGCCTGTAGATGGCTGTCTTCAGGGTCACTGGCGCGGATGTCTGTGTCCAAGTTTCCCCTTTGTATAAGGGCATCAGTCCTATTGGATTAGGGCCCACTCTAATGACTTCATCAAAACTTGATTGCCTTTCTAAAGATCTGATTTCCAAATATATCTATATCTATATATGTATCTATATCTATATATGTATCTATATTTATATATACACATACACACATATGCACACACATATATTTCAGAAATATGTTTATGGTGTAACATATTGTAATACATTATAATGCACTTGAAATAATACATGTGTATCTATCGATTTAGGTATCTGTAACCAAACACGGAGAGTGCTATGCAGCTAGGGGAGTCTCCACATGCAAGTGTCAGAGGGAAAGTTGGAGGGTCTGACTGTCAGGAAAGGCCCCTTTGGGTAGGGACATCTCTAGAGTGAGCTGAGAGAAGAGGAAGCATTCCAGGCCGAGGGACAGCAGGTGCACGGATAAATATCCTGACCCACTGGGTGATGCGAAACTCATGGTGGCCCTTGACTTAATTCCTGAGCATTTAAAGTGAGATTCTCATGATGTCTGGTTTCTTCCCAGGATCCCTGGATTGCATGACCCTGGGAGGCTGGATCAGCGTGGAAGGGTGATATCCTCAGTGCACTGACCAGTTCCTGGACTCTTAATGGCTCCAGGGCACCATGTATGGTTGGAAGAGTTCCTTATTGCCTGCATGGTGGAGTGGTACCACCACCCACCTGAGGAGCAGGTTTACTATACTTTCTGCACAAGGCTACATTCTTATAGCCACAGCAAGAAAGGCAGCAAGGCTGGTCTTTCAGAGGAGAATGTCTGCTTTGCACTCCTTGCCAGGAGCCCAGCAAGTTGCAGTTTGGAGCCTTCTGTTGTGCCTGTTTTGGCACGGAATGAAGCCCCCTCAACACAAGAACTCTAGAAGCAGCTGCTGCACTGTGCTCTCCAGTGTCTCCAGGACAGCACTGGGCAGCCTGATCTGCTCATGGTTCAGATAAGGCTCTGCAAAGAGTGGCTTGTAAGAAGCTCCCAAGAGCTAACTTGAGTTCTTAACAATGACCCACTGTCACTCTGCACACGATTCCATCCTCCGTAAGCCTAGGATGATGCTTTCTCTACAAGAAGACCCTTTCGTCACTCTGAATGTGACCAGTGAATCAAAGCAATGGATCCAGAGATAGTGCTCTACTCTCAGCATCAAGTTCATGACAAATACAAAAGCCCAGGGCTTTTTAGCGCTGGTACTTTTTTTTTTTTTTTTTTTTTGAGATGGAGTCACTCCATTGCCCAGGGCAGTGTGCGTTGGCACCGTCTTGGGTCACTGCAACCTCCACCTCCTGGGTTCAAGCAATCCTCCCACCTCAGCCGTCTGAGTAGCTGGGACTACAGGTGTGTACCACCACATCTGGCTAATTTTTGCATTTTTAGTAGAGATGAGGTTTCACCATATTGGCCAGGCTGATCTTGAACCCCTGACCTCAAGCCATCTCCCTGCCTAGGCCTCCCAAAGTGCTGGGATTACAGGCTTGATCCACCAAACCCGGTCAGTGCTTGTACTTTGAGCAGAGAATTGTTGCTTTGCTTGGCAAATGGTGTGGTGGGGGCAGTGGTGATGGAAAAAGAATGGATGGACAAAGGAAGTCCCCATCAACCTGAACTAGGTACAGTGGTTGAAAACCTTGATGAATGAGTTCATAGACTTGACACTTGGAAACTGCTCACTTGAGTTTTCAAGCATCAGCCAGTGGTGTCGACGAGACCTATAGATCATCTTAGTGGTGGGGCTTCCGGGACTTTTGTTGTCAAAGGGTCTGAGTTGCACTCGGATTCTGTTGCTTATGACTTGTGCTTATCAGTTGCACACCAGAGGATGAGTTACTCTACCTCTACGAGCCTCGACATTGCCATTTATACAGATGGAATGCAAAGACCCACTGTTTCTGGTTGCTGTGAAGATAGGAAGCTAAAGCACCCGGTACTTGGCCTGGTACCCAGTAGATGCGAATTAAATCACCATTGGGACTGCATCAATGTAATATTTTTCTCCTTTACTTATCTAAATATTATTTTTTTCCTGATTCAAAGCCACTCTTGGACTGACAACTGACTGTGCCAGGATATTATCAGGTGAGATCTTAAGAAGCTCAAATTCCTTAAATGATTGGGCATTTGGAGAGTCCTGGTGGATGTGGTTTTCCTCCCAGGCCAAGGAGATTTCCGTGCCTCAAGGAGCTTCTCTGGACGGCGTTAGGCTTTACCACAGTGCCATTCAGGGTCATGCTTGTTAAGTGTCCTTTTTTCCAATAGAAGAATCGTATGCAGTGGCTACTGTGAGGCACATCTGTCACCTTGTCTTACATCCCAAGTGAAGGAAATGGGAAATCCTTTTAAAAAGCTAGTGCTAAAATTCTCTGACAGCCCCTGCCCCCCCCAGTTCAGCTTTAGCTCCCACGAGTATCTTCCTTTCCTTTCCTGATACCCCTGAAGGCTTTGAAATCAACAACAAAACCACAGACTGCAGTGGAAATAAAATATCGTTCTAATTTTCATATTTATTTGTAAAGATTTAAACATGTTTTCCTGCAGCCCTGCAGCAAGCTCAACTCTGTTCTCTAAAAAACTATTGGAAAATGACATTTTAATTTAAAAAAAAACTGGATTATGGATAACAAAACATACAGAGAAAGGAGTCATTAAAATGCATATTGTAAAATTGAAACTTAAGTGTCAAGTTTTTATAGCAGTCTGTCAAATGCTTGACAATTAAAATAGCTATTTTTAAAATTTTAATGAGCCACAATAAGGGTGAAATGTGCATGGAGATTGCACATTTTCAAGACTGCACATTTTTAGCATAACAAGTCCATTCTATATCATTACGGTAATGTCCCATTTGTAAAATTCACCATCTATTTTTAATTAAATTAGTGTGTGTCATTTATTATGGGTATTATATTTATTAATCTTTAATATTTAATTTAAGATGACTTATCTGAGAAACAGACAACTTAACACAACCAAGTTGACACCCTGGTGGTAATGCCTCTGCCTCGCTAACTGCAGTAAATATATTTCATCTCTTATTTTTCATGGCTAAATCTTGAATAAGCTTAAGTATATCTTTCCTCTTGTATTACAGGATATAGACAAATGTGCTTCCTGATCTTTCGGCTTCTTGTTCTTTGAGTCCTGCTCTTTGGGCCATACTTGACATAACCATAATCCCTTACCCTCATCACATTCACTAATATTCTTCCATGAACATCTCAGCTGATGTTAGTAAACACATCTTTTCTATCCTTTTTAGTTTCTGATGATCAGAAAGTGACTTATGGATGGTGCCACCCAATTCTGTAGTAGCCTGTAGGATTGAATCCCTTCTGTCGTCTCCTGGAGCACTTGCCTCCGGTCAGCGCGGCTTGGAGGAGACAACCCGTTTAGCTGATCCTTCCGAGCAACCTGGGGGAGACGCACCAGGACCCTTCCAAACCAGAAGCACATCCCCTCTTCAAATGGTTTAGGATGCGGGTGTCCAATCTGTTGGCCTCCCTTGGCCACGTTGGAAGAAGAATTGTCTTGGGCCATACATAAAATATACTAACACTAGTGACAGCTGAGGAGCTAAACAAAATTGCAAAAAAAAAAAAAAAATCTCATAATGTTTAAAGAAACTTTACTACTTTGGGTTGGGTGGCATTCAAAGTTGTCCTGGGCCACATGTGACCCATGGGCTGTGGGTTGGACAAGCTCGGTTTAGAACCTGTCTTGTTCCTTAGCAAAACATAAAGCATCCTGACTTGGTTTCATTTAAGTAATGATGATGAGAAAAATCCAGTGGTGGCCAGTAGGATAGTGTGAGGGAGAGAGTCTGATTAGGTCTGTTTGCCTCTCTTTAGTCTTTCATCTGGTAGAACTGAGGGGGATGTGTTTGCATGTGTGTGCACATACCTGTGTGCATGGGCATATGTGATCTGAAAGACATGCAGATGGGGGGACGACATGGGTGATGCCAATC